CTGGAAGAGCAGCAAGTGCTCTTAACCAATAAACCACTTCATCACCCTCTCTTCCTGTTTCATCCTAGCAAATCTCCTTCCCTCTTCTGTCACAATTGCAATTTTTAATGATATTCTATTTATTTAATCTGTGTGTGTGCACATGCGCCACAGCACATGTGTGGAGGTCAAGGGACAACTTTTGGGAGTTAGTGATCTCCTTCCACCACGTGGGCCCGAGGGACTGAACTTTCTTGTCAGGCTCAGCAGGCACCCTGGCTGGCTGAGCCATCTCACTGGTCCGCGGTCACAACTTAAGGACAGCTCGAGTGACTTAAGGGTGAGGAGTCTATAGTTTGCCTGCTGTTTTCAGCACACACACTTATTACCAAGGAGACGATGTCAGCCTTTTCTAGCTTGGTCTGAATATTTAAAAGAGGCTCCTTTATGTCCCTCTTTGAGCTTTTCTGCTGGACCACCACCTGCCCTGGTGATGGAAAGATGCATGCTCCTGGGCTGTCTCCCTTCCTCTCTGAAACCCTAGTGCATTGCCACATTCTCCCTGACATTTCTTTCATGAAGTGCTATTCCAAACTGATGGTCACGGAGTCCTTCTCAATACCAGGGAGACAAAGTGCTCTGCATAGCGGATAAATTGTAAGCAGGCACCACCTGCTCGCGTGATGGATTGTTAGAGCGGGTGTGTGAGTCATGGGTGCTATTTTTGGTCAGGAGAATTGTGTGAACTTTGCTCCTCTATTTCAAGCTCTGGAAAATGTGCCACACCCTCCCCTTTAAGGTGTTTCTCAAACAATTGGGTACCCTAGCAGAATAGTTATATTCTGGTGCTAAGTTACTGTTTCAGAGTTGAGAAGGCAGAAGGCTTCAGTAGAGAAGGGTTGTGTATTGACAACCCTCCCTTACAAGTATATAAAAAATTTACCGTCACTTGCCTTAAGGCAAGGGTGCCTCTCCCTTCCACTTCTACCCCTGAGGTCAAACACAAGACTGGGGTAGATATACTGTGAACTCACAGCTCCAAAGGTATTGTGATTCCAACTGACCACCACCACAGCATTGTGGGTGATGGCTGGAATCTTGGCTGTATTGTGACTGTAGCCTTTTCAGCTGGGCTGCAGACTAAATATGGTTTGATAACAATGGTTCTGGCTCTCTGAATGCCTTTTCTGTTACAGCCCAAACCTCTACCCCAGTGTTCTCTGGGATCTTGGGTGCTTATCCTGGGTTTCTGTCCTGCTCTGTATCCAAGAGTCCAGGAGCACCAAGGCCAGCACTTATCAGAGCAAGGCCCTGGTCCAGAGCCACGATGCATGTTAATTGTTTCTGGTCCATTAAAAGATTATCAAGGAAATTAGGAACAAGCTTTTAGAGGCTTTTTAGAACCATTGTGTGGGCATGTCTTTAAAACACAGGGTTTTCTTAAATTATTTTCCTAATAATTCATGTTGGCTGCATCGCACAAAAGCATCGGTGAGGGATGGACTGAGGAATGTATCTTTTCTGTTGCATGAGATGAGTTTCTCTGGCTTTGCTACGTCAGTGGCAGTGGTCCCTGAATGCCAGGGTCTCCCCTCCCTGCCAGGGGGTGGAGCCATTGTTGATTGAAGAGGGGAAGTCTGGGGGTGTGGCCATCTTTGTGCTTTGGTTTCCTTGTACGTTTTGATTGGTGCTCATGGAAGGGTGCTGGTGGCAGCGGTTCCTCCCCTGAGACTTTCCTTCCTGCCTGGTGCCTGCCCTTCCATCAGGGTGGACGCTGCTGCTGGCTCTCTAAGAGGATCCACGAGCTAATGTCTGAGAATTTTCTGTTGAGTGGAAGCGAGGCACAGTGCAGGAACCAGGAAGTATCAATCAAGAACAACTTCCAATGACTGCACCCAGCCTGTCCTGTGACTTTTAACAGTACCCCCCCACACAGAGAACTCAGAGATAGGAGGTGAGGAATGCCCCTTTCCTGCCTGGGTCCTTGCCCCCAGATACCCACAAGGTCCACCATCTCCTTTTCACTGTGACCTCTTTGGCACACTCTGTTTCCTGTACTTCTAGAGTAATACCTAGCTGAGTAAGCCGCTCTCATTCTGTACCACATAGTATAGCATGTAATCAGTCGCTTCACGGAACCACAGAGCTTTGTCTTTTTGGGTCATTGCTACATCCCCAGGCCTTAGACAGTGCCTAACCCAAAGCTGACGCCCAGTAAACATTTGTGTAAATAAATGAGTGATTGATGAACAGTGCAGGTCCAGAATCATAAAGGGTCAGCTGTGGTCACAGAAGGACCTGCTGTGTCTCTACAACTCTGTCCCCTGGGTACTTGAGTTAGTGCCATGGGGGAGGGGCTTTGGCAGCACCCCCTGGGTGCCCAACCTGGGCTTCAGTGTTCTGTGTTTACTGTGCACATTTCAGGTCACCACATGGAACGTTCGGTGTTAGTTCCCTTCTGCAGATGGAGAAAATCCCACATGCAGCTAGCGACAAAGCTGGGATGGAACTTTGAATCCTCCACTGGGGAACTTTCCAAAATCAGTTGGGAGCAATGGTTCCTTGCTTCTCCATCTACAAAGGGGAGTCTAACTTTTCCCATCCACCGTCAACTTTGTATTTCCTGAGAGCAGAGTTCTTGGAAAATGGGAAGCAAGATATTGTAAGCTATGAGCCTTGCCAATATGGGGTTGACGATGTAGACTGCACTGTGGCATGGAGATTGCACTGTGGCATGTAGATTGCACTGTGGCTTGGAGAGTGTATTGGGAACAGTACAGTTTGTCTCAGGCAAGACTACATGCTAGGCACTGGTTTCAGGAGTTAGTGCTTCTTACTCACAATGCTGAGGCTCAGCTTCTCATCCCCCCCTTTCCACTGTGTTAGGGCAGAGGGGAGGAGCGAGAACCAAGTTCCTCGCCCTTCATGGAACTTATGCTTGAGCAGGGAGAGGGAGTCAGGAAATAAACAGCGAGCAATAAACCATGAAGTGAATTATATGGTATGTTAGGAGATGGCACGCGCCTCAGACAAAAGGCATGGGAGCGAATGGGAGGGTGGCCGTGTTAAATCCAATGGTCCAGGGGGCGTCCTGTGGGGATCAGTGACCTCTATGCAAAAGCCTGAAGGAGCTGACAGAGAGTTTGGGTGACAAGATGGGATCAGGCCTGGCATGGAGGAAAAAGGAGTGAGAATGGAGGTCGGGTACCTAGCAGGAAGAGACAGAAGGCAGTCCCAATCAATGGACTGTGGAGGCCTGATTGGGGGTGTGTCAAGAACTGGTAAAAATTTCATCTTTAGAGTCTTTCCCTTGCTGCCTTTTCCAACCCAACATAATTGCTCCCAGAAGTGTAGCATAGAAGTCCTTGGAGACGTGGCCACTAGAGGGGGGGTTGTCCATTTACGCCTCTGGGTTTGGGTTTCCTGAACTTCAGCAGGAAGGCATCTGGAGATTTAGCTTCGTGTACAGTTCTTTAAGCGACTGCTGTGAGGCCCCAGCTTTCTCCATCCTTCGTCCTCATCCCGAGACTTGGAACACACGCACACAGCCCTGTGTGACTGGCCGCCGTGCTCGGTGGTTGTCTCTGCTAGAGGCGGGGAGAACTCGGTCTGTCCGGTGACAAGTTTTCTTTGTAAAACATGGGTAGGTTTCTGCAGAGCAGGGGACAAGAGTGAGCTGAAACTGTGTAGGGTTGTCCAGAGTCCAGGGGAGCCCCAAGAGGAGATGGGTATATGTCAGAGGGCCGGCAGTGCTGCTTTGGCGAAAGGAATGGAGCTGCCTGGCTAGGTGAGCCCCTCTGACAGGGTCGGGACCCCAGGTCTAGATAGGAGTAAGTGTTTTTAAGAGGAGAAGCTTGTGGTGTGTGTGGAGGGGAGATGTTTTGAAGACTGGGGTGGAAAGCAGTAGTCTGGGCTCTTTGGCACCGTGAGAACTACCATCAGGAAACAATGAGATGGGAGACAGACCAGGAGACCAAAGAATCACAACTAGTTCCAATGTTGGAAACGGTCGCCTTTTAGAATGGCAACCGAAGTTCTGGGCATTCAGCCTGGGAAGATGGCATCGTGGGTAAGATGCTTGCTGCAAAATCATGAGATCTGAGTATGATCCCCAGCACACATGTAAAAAGAAGGCACAGCCACAACTGTAATACCATTGTTGGGGAGACAGAGACAAGGCGGATCCTTAGGGCTCACTGGCTAGGTAGACTAATGGAATTGGTGAGCCCCAGGTTCAGTGACAGACTATCTCAGAAAAGGTGGACAGCAATTGAGGATGATATTTGATATCAGCCTCTGTCCTCCACATGTGTAAACACACGTGCACACACATATGCACAAGCAAATATACACACAAATTCTGGGCACTGAAATAGCAAAGACGAGTTCATTTAGCAAGACACATTGGAAGGAACAGAAGAAATGACCTAAATGAGAAAATAAACCCTTTATGACATTACTGGCCCTAATTTGTGAACTCAACACTATCCGATTTGAAAGTGGCTATTTTATTACCTGTGTGTATACATGTGGTGTATATGTGTGCAAGTATATGCTTGCTAGGGTACAGAGATCAGAGGAGGACACCAGGGGCCCTGCTCTGTCATTCTTAACCTTACTCCCTGGAGACAGGGTCTCTCATTGAGCTCACAGCCATGCCTGACTTTTTATGTGGGTGTTGGGGATTTGAACTTGGATCCTCACTCTTGCACAGCAACCCCCCAGGATAGACAAGCTCTTCGGGAAGTTTTGATACAGTCAAACATGACTGATTCCTCTGTAACCTGTCCACTTTTGTGAGCCACTCTGGAAAAGAACCTCCCTAAATAATGGAAGCTTGCAGTCCACCTCCTCCTCCTCTCCTCGAGCTGTTACTGCGTAACTTACACACTTCCTGCTTTCACACACAGTCACTTACATGGGGTTCTGTATGAGCTGGATGCCGGCATCTATACGTCAGGAAAGCCCACGTTTGTCCATACCTCCATACTGATTGCTGTTGTGCTATGTTGATATTCCAGGCTAATCTTGCACAGCTGTTGAGAGACTCTCAGGACAGGAATAAACATCTGGGAGAAGAAATTAAAGAACTCCGGCAGAGGCTTGGCGAAGTCCAGGGTGACAATAAGGTACTGTGAACATAATAAGGTACAGGGAAATAAGGTACAGGGAAAGGCTCACTGCGGGTGCACGCTCTGGATGCTTCTGAGTGGGTAGCACGTCAGGAAATGCACTGCAGCCTTGGTGGGGAAAGATTGCTATAGGTTTTTATATTTTCCATCATGCAAATTCACGGTTTAACATTTGCCTTTATCACAGCCCCTTTGTGGGTGCACGTGCGTGCACATGTGTGTGCTTCGGAGCTGCTCTGAAATATCATTCCAACCCATTCTAGAACTTTCGCTCTATTCAGCTTGGTGGTAGATAACATGTGGTTGAAGGCAAAATAAAAGCAAATGCGATACTTCCTCCCTTCTACACAAATAATGGATTTGTGGCTCAGATGATTTGAATTTTAAGTAGTCATTCTACTAATGATGTTCACATCACCAATTTACTTTATTGCTAAATTTGGCAATTTGTATGGAACATTGCTCAAAATCCACTGCTCGGCATTAATCAAACTCCCCTGTTGGCAACGTTAATTATAAAATATGAACTCATAAACTCCAAACTAAATGTGTGCATTCACTCTCTCCCCGCTGAAGCTGCGAACAAAAGTACAATCGAAAAAGAGAAAGAAAACTGAAGTTAAATTCTGTTCCCCCAAATAATTCTCTGCTTTGCCGGGCATGGACAGATTCATTTTCAGCCCTTTGCCAGAGGCGGTGCTCACAACAGCAAGGGTGCTGGGTTCCGACTTGGAAATGCTCTATTGCGTCTCTGTGTGTCCAGGGGTGCTTTCTTGGGGAGACGTTTTTTTTTCTAGATGTTATCACATTCCTTGACAAACAAAGGTAGCTTTCTCTTTTATGGGGAGTGGTTGGTTATTCTGAGGCACCATTTTGAAAGATGTTCCCTTTTGTATGTGTAAAACATGTTTGGTACTCTCTGGAAGTCAGTTGCCTACAGGAAACCTTCAACGATGAAAGATCAGAGAGGCCAGTGTAGACTGCTAGGTGGGAAGGAGGCCCAGATGGTTTGGATGTGGTGCCATCCCTGCACCGCACCCCACCCCTGTTTGTGTACTGGAAGTTTGGCCCCTGTGTTAGTTACAGAATAAAAGCAACTTTAGGAAGCATCTTTCTGGGAAAGGAACTCCGGCAGGAACGCGACGTGGAAGCAGAAAGAGATGGTACGGTACTCAGTGTTCTCCTTGTATTGGTCCTGGACTCCAGCCCACAGGCATCCGTAGCCTACGTTTAGGGTGATCTTCCCACTTCACATAAACTAGCCTAGGAGATTCCTCACCGCTGCGTCAGTTGTTTGTTTCTATGGTGATTTAAGTCATGTCAAGCTGTCAGTCAGGACTACCTGCCACAGCCCCCAGTCACGGTTCCAAGAGGAGCTAGGACCTTTAAGAAGTAGGGTCTGGTAGGTCGGGTCAAGCGTGCCCACACCAGGAGACTACTTACTTACCACCTGTATACTGGGGAAAGTCGGGTTTGTAGTCATCTACAAGATACAGTTTCGTAGGAGCGGCTGACCCTTCTCTGCTGCCTCCCTTCCCCCTCTCCAGCCGACATCTTCTGTGTCCACCTTACTGTGCTATAGCCATGAGGCCCTCACTAGAAGTCCTCTGAAGATGTGCACTGAGAAAGCTTCTTTGCTTTCTAACGTACCCAGCTATTGGTGGTTTGCTCCCGTAATGGAAGATGGGCTTGGGGAAACCCTCAGCAGTTAAGAGCGCTTGTTGCCTGTGTCTGGGAGCTAGAGTTTAGATTTTGGCATTTGCTTAACGAACTAGGTGTCCTGAATGTGTCTGTAAGTCTAGCTTTAGGTTGAGGCAGTGACAACAAGTTCCCTGGGCTTGATGGCTTCCAGCCTAGTGAAGAAAACTAGATTCCCAGGGTCATGGAGAGATCCCACGTCAAAGGAAGACACGGAGCATGGCGGGTGGGGATACCCAGTGCCCCCTTCTGTTCTGAGAGTAGTGCACACAGACATTTTATTTCAGCTCACAGCTCTAGGACATATAGTGCATATTCAATGAATTAAATAGAGAAATAAAAATGATTTTGAATGAACTAAGTCTTCATTTATCTATTTTTGAGATAGGATTTCACTATGTAGTTCTGATTTACCTGGAATTCATACGTAGGTTATACTAACCTTGACCTCACAGAGATCCACCTGCCTCTGCTGAGATCAGCTAACTCTTTTCCATTTAACTACTGTAAGATAGATAGATAGATAGATAGATAGATAGATAGATAGATAGATAGAGAGATAGAGAGAGAGATAAGCAGACCTCTGTATTTAACATAAATTTGAAAAATTAGGTTCTGTTATTCCTGGTTGTAAAATAGGAGTGAGAAAGAATACCCAGAAACTCGGCAGGCTCCCTTGTGGTGAATGCATCACATAGGTCAGAGATCAAAGGTCAATTCTGGAAGTTTCTTCCTCCATCAGTCACACCAGAGGGTGACCTTTCTAATAAAATGTGCAGTTGTTTTCTTTATGGTCATAAAATACAAAGTGGATTTTGGAGACACCATAAACCTGCTGAAGCAGTTTGAAAGTGTGACTGTTTGTGATCCATGTGTCTTTAGTGTAGTATATTATTTCCCTGTTTTCCTTTTGTTGTTCTGAGCTACTCCTGATTTTAACTTTCCTAATTATGTTTCTGCTTCACCAATTGGTTCTGTCTTGATCTTTTGCCTTTTCCCCTTTCTGTGTGTGTGTGTGTCTCCATGTCTGAGCCCAGCCCTGGGCTCATTCCCCCTAGCCATCATCTGAATGCTGTGATCTGCACACGTGTCAACTTGTATTCAAGATTTTGGATTTACTGACTCTTTCCTGGCCTGTAGAGCAATCTGTCTGCTGAATGGTACCTGCAGGCTGTTATCTGGTTCACCAGACCCCTGCTCATATCTGGTTCCTCCTCTCCAAAGATACGGACATGGCCCAAGCCCCACTCACCGTTCTGTTCTTTGTGTCTGCACTTTCGAGGCTAGCCGGGTCCCTGAAGTTATTTTCAGGCCCACGGCCACCCTTCTCTCAGTCCACCTCCAGGCCTTGGTAAGATTGCTGATTCCACAGTGGTACTAGACTTCCTGACACTGAAGGCCCTGTTCAGAGATAGCTGGGGTGTGATAAAGAACTGGTTAAGCCTTTGAGATCTGTGTGTGTGTGTGTGTGTGTGTGTGTGTGTGTGTGTATGTGTGTGTGTGTGGTGTTGTGGTCATGTGGGGTTCTGATGGTTGTTTATTTTTGTTGTTTTGATCCGCTACGCCGTGGGTAGCTCCCACTCTTCCTTCATCATCCAGATGCTGGCCACGTCCTTGTCATTGTGTGCCAGACATCCATGGTTGGTCCACCGCCAGTTTTTCCCGCCACGATCGGACTGAAACCTTCATGCAGGCTTCAGCCTGTCTGCCTTGCTGCCTTGTCATGGGATCTTTACACCTGTTACGTGCTCTGGGGCCTTCTCCTTGACTCCACTTTCCATCCGCTCCCATTCTAGTCAGATCATGGATTACATGTTGCCTTTGCCAGCTTCGGGTGTCAGTCCTGCGTGTTCTCAGGGTGTTTGGCTCTGCTTCCCGGACGCTTGTGTGGCCCTGTAGCCCGGGGTGGGGGAGATGCTCAGAAGATGAGTGCTTGCCCCAGACTCCAGCCTAGGACCCTTGGTTCCCTCCACGGAGCCCTTCTTAGGAAATCTCCCACGCAGTGGGGGTGGGGGTAGTGGCTGCATTGACTGAGTGAGAAGTGCTGTGAGGGATAAAGCGAGTCAAAAGAAGAGCAAAGGGACTGCCACGGTGGCTCATGGGTAAATCCAGCCCTTGTCAGTCAGAGGCAGGAGGATCTTGAAACCAAGACTAGCCACAAGAGAGTGGGACAAAGGAGTTGCACTAAAAGAGAAGGAGAGAGGGGCGCACAGCAATGCGTGGTGTGGGGAACTCGGAAACAGAAGTAAAAGTTCCAGGAAAACAAAAGTCCCAATAAGGGACCAATAGCAGCTCCGCTGGGAGCCCGTGGAAGGCAGGATAGGTGCGAGGGCAGAGGACAGACGCTGTGGCCAGAGGGTGCCCATGCCAGTCCTGCTCATGGCCAGTCCCATTCCACCCAGCATACTTAAGGGCTAGGTATTTGCTGCTTGGAGACTGAACAGGGGCCAAGGGCAGTGTCTGCTGAACACCTGTGCCTGTGGGGAGCACCTCCGTGCTGCCATTTAACAGTGACCCATCAGGCCAGAGGAAGGCTGACTGTGGGTATTAAGCACACATGAACACTGAGGTGGCAGGAAATGGCCTGCCTTCGATATTGTCAGAGAGACTTCAGTTTTCTATTTGTGCGGCTAGGGCCTTGGCACCCTACACTTCATAAAGCATTTCCAAATGGTTTCTGGAGGGTTTGCAGCTATGATAGCTTCGTATTTGCATAAGCTGGGGGGCATGCATCTCGTGACATGTGGGTGAGGGTGCCTGGAACTCATCATGACCTGACCTCCTCTGACTGGTCCCCAAGAATTGGGGCGAGGAGCAAAAATGCACCCAGAGAAATACAAACTCCCAACCCAAACCAGATGAGAGGGTGACAACGGAACCCCACCAGAAGCTGCCCCTTCCTCAAAATTTCAGGGTTTTCGTTTTTGTTTACTTTGTTTTGATTTGGTGTGGATGTGTTCACACATGTGTGGGTGCTTGCAGGGGCATGTATGTGTTTGTATATTTGTGCATGCATGTGGAGGCTAGGGATTAATGTCAGGTGTTTTCCTCAATTACTTTCCTTTTATTATTTTGAGACAGGGTCGCTTACTGAATTTGGAACTTGCCAGTCAGCAAGGCACAGGGATCCCTCTGTCTCTACCTCCCCAGTGTTGGGATTAGAAATTTCAGTGTCTAAAGGTCCATGAGGACATAGGAAGAAAGGCTCCAGGCACCACCCATCACCTTGGGGAAATCCTGGTGGGCGATGCGGGACCCTTGTGTTCATCTGTGAGAGGAAAGAGCTAGTTATGTGGGAA